CGAGAATGCAAATATATATAGGTATAGCTTGTATGTGTAAAACTTTTGAAATAACCAATTTGGAAGCATTGTTAGATATATAATTATGTTCTCACTTCTTACATTGGAAGGTAAGTTTGGTGGATTTTTCTTCTTTTCAACTAGAAACACTTTTACTTTATGTTATCTTTTAGGCCTCTCAGCATGAGGACTAATATTAAACTTACTTCTTAAGATACTCAACATTTCAACAGATGAAGAGTTTAGTCTAAAAACCTTCAAGTTTTATTTCAATCTTGTTAGTTTTTACTTCAACAAAGATTCATGATTTTCTTAATAGATAAAACAAAATGATGGCTGCTCTGAAAAAACACACACAGTTGTTTTGTAGGCAAACCTCAGGTTTGTTATTTTCATACAACATCAGTCATAACAAGACTATCATACACAGCAGTGTAAGTAGACACAGCCATTAATAACTAAGGTCTATACTGCATCTATGTGCTTTTACTTCTTAAACCTGAGCAGACACTCCCAGTGTTCAGCTAATAATCCTGATTTACCCATGGACAGTGTGACACCAAATGTTCAATAGGGAGAGATTTGAAGCTATTTACTCAATAATGCTTCATGTGAAAATCTCTGATGTTGAAGGGAAGAACAAAATTAAGAAAATCGGAATTTTATAAGGTACAGTGATAATTATTAGGAAATCAGGAAAATAATTGAAGCAGAATGTGCAAAAACAATTATTGGTTTAAAGAATTAAGAGGATTACCACATGATTCAGTCTAAGTGAAGACACTGTCATAAGCAACTAATTAGGGTCACATAGCCTGGACTAGCCTACGAGTATGTCTTCTGTTGAGCTTGATAGATTAAGGGACACAATGTTTAAGATTTTAAAATCACACCTAAGCTTTCACAAGCATAAAATTCAAATGGTGGAACATTTCACTTGTGTAAAACAGTTAACAAATATGTTTCATATGCTGTTTCATGATAAAGATCTAAAAATCTTTTTCATCCAACCGAAAACATTCATAGGATTTACTTATCCCAAAATATTATTGAAGACCCTAGTCTTTCCAAGGTTGAAAGCTGATGCTGTTATTGGCACAAGTTTTTTTTAACAAGAAAGGGCAACATTTCATTTTGCACTTTATGTTTATGAGGCACTGAACACCTGAACTAAACTTTAATATGGTGACACAACAAGTCTACCAATTACACCCCACTTCCAGCTTCACTCACCAATTTCAACAGTTGTGTCAGGAAGACAACCAATATAATTACAGAATGTACTTTCATTAGTGTTTGTCAGTTGTCAGAGATTCCTGCAGAAGTACAGAGAAGTCGACTAAGGTCACATGGAGTAGAGTTAAAACCTGAGATTAATAGAAGTACAGAGAAGTCGACTAAGGTCACATGGAGTAGAGTTAAAACCCGAGAGTAATAGAAGTGCAGAGAAGTCGACTAAGGTCACATGGAGTAGAGTTAAAACCCGAGAGTAATAGAAGTGACAGAGAAGTCGACTAAGGTCACATGGAGTAGAGTTAAAACCCGAGAGTAATAGAAGTGCAGAGAAGTCGACTAAGGTCACATGGAGTAGAGTTAAAACCCGAGAGTAATAGAAGTACAGAGAAGTCGATTAAGGTCACATGGAGTAGAGTTAAAACCCGAGATTAATAGAAGTACAGAAAAGTCGACTAAGGTCACATGGAGTAGAGTTAAAACCCGAGAGTAATTAACCCAAAATATGTACTTACCACATCTTTATCTTCATTTAATAGATATTACATTTTTAAAATCTTCAATCATTTATAGACATCCTACAGATGAATGAAGTAGCAAAGAAAATTTCTACTCACTTCTTCAATAATGAAAAAGTCATCTCCTGGTTGGCCTTGTTCCACAATCACCTCTCCATCATTAAACTGTACAGGTTCTAGAGCATCAGCTACTGTAAGACGCTCCCATTTGTCTAAGCTCTCTGGAAACAACATAATATCAATAATACCAGAAAAATTAAAAAGCATAAAACCTTCCAGTTTCTTATAGTACTAGCCTAGATGATGCATTAATGGCAAAACACTGGCTCAAATAAAAAAAAATTAACATTATATGGAGTGTAAAAGTTTTTTTATTTTCTAACTTTATTGACAGCTGAAAATATCACAAATACATAAGAAAGTTTTAATTATAAGTGATAAATTGATATTCATATAATTCATATGAAAGGTTTATGATCTTTAATAGTACACTAGTGGAAAAACTATTTTAACTAAAAACAAAGACTATCAAGACACCCTAACTGATATATCATCACATGCCTAGAAGAACAGAATAAAATACTGTACCACAATAGTCAGCAAACTGAAACTATGGCAGAACACTTAACAATAAGCATATACCACAATAGTCAGCAAACTGAAACCATGGCAGAACACTTAGCAATAAGCATATACCACAATATTCAGCAAACTGAAACCATGGCAGAACACTTAGCAATAAGCATATACCACAATAGTCAGCAAACTGAAACCATGGCAGAACACTTAGCAATAAGCATATACCACAATAGTCAGCAAACTGAAACCATGGCAGAACACTTAGCAATAAGCATATACCACAATATTCAGCAAACTGAAACCATGGCAGAACACTTAGCAATAAGCATATACCACAATAGTCAGCAAACTGAAACCATGGCAGAACACTTAGCAATTGATATTAAACAATATTGTGGTGGAAGAATTACCTATACTATTTAAGTTAATAGAAAAATAATTGGTTGCATATAACAACAAGAAACTACATATTTTAATTGTTATTGTATATTGTAAACATGGAGTGTGAAATGAATAATGTGTTACTAATATAAAAAACATCTCAATGTAACATCTTCAGTCTGGGCAAAGTGCATGTGCTACCTAAATTGAGAAACCATTAGTTTTCATCTATAAAATAAAGATAGGTGTTTGGTACATTTTATAACACTGAATATATCTGTATACTTCACATTGTTTCCTACAGTTGTCTATTAAAATAAAAACTACGGGTGAACTAAGTCAGCTTTAAACTAGCAAAAAGGAAAAACCTGTATAATCTTTAAATGAAAACAAACTTGGGATGACTTAAAAAGAGGAAAAAAACCATTTAGAGGCAACACGCATCTGAGTACCAGAAAATATATCATAACCAATGAAACTTACCCAAAATAGAAACTTTACTGAGAAATTCTTCATACATCTTTCTTTTCCGTATCGTGCTACCCTATACGAAGAAAAGAAGATATCGTGATGCATGTAAATATATATTACCTGGGTTACATGGTCTATTAAATCGATACAGGACACAATCAGTGGGTGACTTTAATAAATGACCAAATTAGATTCTACTGCTGTATAACAGGCATGATTTATCAGTTCATCAGTCTCTATCATAAAGTCTACAGCTAGTTCAGTACAAAGTATGGAGTTCTGTAGCAGTAAATGCATGGAAGAGTTTGATCTTTGCAGTGTTATGTAGTTTTAAAATATTTTCATTCTAAGATTAATTAATCTTTTATTTATTTATTACTGTGAACTTGAAAACTTTGTCATTTTCTATGAAGAAAGAGAATATGGAAGAACATATTTTTTTTATCTTAACTCTCAAATTAACAGCATATTATTGCCGACTACTGGTGGGGTCTTCATGTTACAAAAAATTGAGTAACCTTACATTTTTGGCAATTACAGCACACATTGTCACGAAAAAACTGGGTGATACTGCTAATTTTCTAAGTGAAATACAAAGGTGACTCCAGTAGTAATTAGTAGGATTAACTGCAATACTGCCGATATTTTTTTTTAAAGACCATTTCATATATTTTATCATTATTATTCTTGTGTTTTACCTATTAAAACCCCTAAGGATATTTAACCCTGCATTAGACTTCGGTAAAACTTTTCCACAGTAACTCTTCCAGGGTCCGAGTGGTAAAAATTAATTCCAAAATACTTAAATAATGATAAACTATTATTTTGGAAACAAAAATACTAGCACTCAAAATCTTTTCCTTTATTAATCTATGAATTAACAGTGAATATTACAACTTGTTTCTTTTTTTACCACCTAAACTAAGTGTAACAGTTTACCACAAACTAGCTAAATATTGAAGCTACCAAGAACAACAAACATGTAACCTCTTCCATTTGTCGAGGCTGATGTTTACAAAATATTTGGTGTCCATGAAGACCCTGGAAGACTAATGCAGGGTTAAAGTAGCTATTTCACTTGAAGTAACAGCAACAGAAGCATTACTTTTTTTGTAAATAGTTTCATAACTTAGATTTTAAATAACAGTATTTCTTTTCTGCAAACTTTTTCTGATATATAGCCAGTTAAAAGAAAAAATAATTTTTAAACCCATCTTATGCTTTATTAAGTTATAGAGTAAAAACAATAATTTTTTGTATGTTCTGCCAGAATTATTTCCATGATTTCCTAATAATTATCATTAAACTTTATAAAACTTAAAATTTTCTTAATTTTGTAATTAGCTTAGACTAGTTTTCAACCAAAGAGACTTAAATGTTATCAGATGCTGTCACCGTTTGATTTGTAAACCGAGATTTTCGACCAGATGCTAGCAGTGTCTGCTTGAGTTTAAGGAGCTAAGATATACTAAAATTTATATCAGATGTAATTTTTCTCTTGTTTCATTGCCTTAATATGTATTTATTATTTTATTCACTAAAAAAGCACATTACAAATCAGAATTACTTTATTTTGCATACTTATACAGATATCTCTTTACACTGTTCATAAAAGAATTTATTATCCATGCTTCCAAACTATCAAACAAGTTAATTCATGCACTTCTTTCTAAACTTTTATGACTTCAAGACTACAACACTAACTGTACTTTATATCTGACTTCAATACCATTTACTTTTCCTGTAATTTCAAATTCATTTATATTCAGATGATCAATTGTATTGGCCACAGAAGTTTCTTTCAATTAACAGTAGCTCTCTTCAAATGCATAATTTCTACACTAATTATCAAATAAATACTATAATATTCTTATTTCTACTGGATATACAATTCTATTTATAAATTTTTCTGTTAATTAAAACTGATCACTTTAACCATTTCTGGACTGGTAAGCACCTTTCAGGTGTCAAGTGCACACATTCGTGTAAAATTTTCGTAGAAATAATAATTCTAACTTTATTTCAACAACATTGTATTCAGAAATATTTTTAAATGGATATTTTATCACATTTATTTAGTGTAATCCACGGAGAAAATGAAAAACATGTTCAAATGTATATTTCTGCACATCTCTGAGCGTAGGTTTATATATATTTGCCAAGAAAATATCACCCATTTAGAATATAATTACCCATGGTTTGTTTCTCACACAATTTTTCTTTTCATTCATTGACATTATTAATACAACCTCTAGTTCCTTCTCTGATCTCACAGCATGAACTTTGAAAATAGCTACAGGTAAAGTTTAAATACCATTGGATAGAGCAGGTAATAAAGTGGTGTGAGAAGCAATTTATGGTTTCATGGGAAAGTGACAAGACCTATCTCAGACAGAGAAGAACAATGGAATTTAGTAAGATCTTTAGAAAACTTAGGAACAAACCACAGATATGGAAATTTTTTTATAGTTTTTTTTAAATGTTTATTACACTCCTCATTTTGTGTTTATGTTAAATTATAGTTGTTTTTCAAGCTACAGCAATTTTCTTCTATAAGAAGACATCACGTTAAGCCTTATTATATTTAGACAGCCAAGTAGCAACAGCAAATACTGAGTGACTCAAATCCTTATTTCTTTATTGAATATCACTATTAAGTTTATTGTATTCAAACAACCACATAAATAACTTATAATTTATTTTAAAGAAAGTATATTTTTATTACATAAAAATTGATTTTGACCAAGAATGTTGTTAGCAAAAATACTGTTATCTAATCTTACCTGACTCATTTTGGTAGATAAGGACATAAGTCACTGATAAATTTCAAAGTTCCAACCAGGCATAAAGAGATAATGTTAAATTTCTGGATGCTTTTTTATGCACTTGTCGAATTTCCAAACATCCCATATTTCAATGTCATCCATTGATTCCATTCCAGTACAAGGTTTTTGGATAGTCTTCCTACAGACATTTAGTTGTTTAGCTTAATTTTATTATCCATCATTGTGATGTAAGTGTTAGAAAATGTGAACAACAGAGAGAGCTTGAAATTCACTTATAAAGACAGGATTGAAGCAAAAGAGGAAATTGATGGAATGTTTTAGGTAAGTAAACTTCATATAGATGTTATTTATGCAGTTGAAAGATTTATTTTAAACTTATCTGACAATTCTTGTGATAGATGATTGATGTGAATCCCTGTATTTGGTCCCTGCTATCAAGGACACTAGCCATGTTTGCCAATTAAAACCACACTTCAGTTCAAACATGAATGTTGAAATAAGCTGCTCCAACAAAAAGTTTGAGGAGTAGATTAACAGACTGTAAAGAACAGAAGATTAATCAGCATCTTAATGAATAAAAATTAAGACAAAACACATGTTATTTATTAAACAGGTGGTTTTACTTACATTCTGGTGGAATCAGTGCATAGTGTGGCTGAAAAATAAATTATGATGTTTAAATTTTACTTATTTTTGTGTCAGTTTTATTGGTTAACAGGTGGCATTCTTCCACTCTGAGTGTCCAGATTCTGGATTGAGTTGCCCTTTCAAAACCTAAAAATGCCACAGTCAGCACCCTTTATTTTGAAACCCTTATTAACTGTCAGTTTATGCAGTGTTTTCATGATTAACAGCTAGAAGTGGTGACTACTGCAATTGGCAAAATAAAGTATCAAAAGAAACAAGTAAATGAAAATCAAGTTGAAATGGACTGGGTATATAAAATGGAACTTCTTATACAACAGTTAATAAGTTCTAACAAAAAGAACTATTTTTATTGTTTATTCAAAAAATGTCTCTTCTAAGCTAAAACTAAATACTATTTAGTAAGCAGATCCAAAGTTCTGTGCAAGTATTTCCACTGTGAAAAAGGAAAAAAGTGTTATCACTAATACTACCAGTCCAGAATGGGTTAATTTTAGTAGCTCCTACAATATTTTAATTATTATACTACTATCTAACTATTATAGAAGAATACTTAATAAATTCCAGATTAACCCCAAGAGTCATTCCTATCAATACATATATTTAAGTGTACTGAGTATCCTTTGAAAAGACTTGCATTAATCAATCCTTACATGAACAAGTAAATTCAAAACTTTTATGAAAATTTATAAAAAAATTCAGATTCAACAATAAAAAATCCTTTTAACTTTATTTGTAAGGTAAAATAAAGCTGTACTAACCAAATAAGATTTCTATAGTTCTTACCATTAAAATTCTTCTGTATGTGTCACGATCTATAGCCCAGAGTTTTACATTTGTTTTTGCCTGAAATGAATAATTTTCTATTAATTTTTAAAACAACCAGCATCTGACACTATTAAAGATACAAATAGCTATACAAAAGCATGACTACTATCTTTAATCT